TTTTTTTTTAATGTGACTGTCTAAAATCTTTTATTTTTACTCTTATAACCAAAAACCCCAAAAATTTCTTAAAAAAATCTAAACATTTTTAACTCAACCACTTTTTTAACTCAACTTTAACTCAACCCACTATCATTAATATTATCAATATAATTAAATAATATCAATCAATCATTCTTATACACAATATCAACCTTAATTTACTATTCATCTACTCACATAAATTTAACTAACTATCACATCACATTTTCTCTCTTACTTTTACATCAATTTAATTTTAATTATTTTATTTTAAATATTATTTTATTATATCCACTAACAACTAACCATACCTACTTTTTCAAATTTAACCAACCCAAATCAAAACAAAAACAAATTTATATCCAAGCATGCTCTATAAATCTTTGTTTTTAATATTAATTTGATTACGGCTGTGCACGCACAATCGTGCCCAATTTAGTCTATTATAGAAGGTTTATTTGAATAATTTGAGTGATGTAGATCTCTAAATTTGTGAGATAGTGTGTGCGACAAAAGGATGTAGAAGGTTTACTTGGTGCACACAAAATATGTATAACTTGTGAGATAAAGGGATATAGAAGGTTTACTTCCACTTATAATTTGTGAGATAGTGTGTGCCGATCCAAGGTTTACTTTATAATTTGGTGCACAGTAACTCTTAAAATAAAGCAAAAAATATTGAAAAAATATATAAAGGTAAATCTGTTCCAAGAGTTGATAAATATTTTGATTTATGCAATCAAATAAGAACGCTTTTAAAAAAATACTAACTATTGTCTAGATCATCTTTCTAAATAATTTGGAACGTTGATTAGATGAGTTACAAACTCAATTAAAAAAGGAATTAAATTGGTTTTCTCTGCACGACGGACATCAGAAGAGAGTTCCCGAGATTGATGCTCATTTGTTGCTTGTCGAACAAGCTTAGCGATCGTTCGTACAACCATACCATGGACTGCAACTCCATGACCTTCTTCCCGACTTACAAAGAGGCTTCTCAATTCTCCTACCTCACACAGAAAACTATATATAGCCATTAACAGGACCTACACAAACATATTGATGATGATAATTATCAATACATATATATATATATATATATATATAAATCAGTTGGATAATAATTATCAATACATATATATGTAAATCAGTTGGATAACACTATTTCACAATGCCTATAATGATAAATCAAATAACCACATATGACCATAATGAAATTCAGAGAATTAGTGGTTACTATTCCAAGCCCTGGAACTAACTAACAATAGGAAACGAGACGCAGTGAATCAACTTACATTCGCCAAGCCCTGGAACTAACTAACAATAGGAAACCAGACGCAGTGAATCAACTTACATTCGCCAAGCCCTGGAACTAACTAACAATAGGAAACCAGACGCAGTGAATCAACTTACATTCGCTACACAATGGGACCACATTTAGCAAATTGAATCCCTATTTCTATAACATCTACCACTCTTCCTGCATGAAATATTAAAAAAACAATCACTGACATGAAAAAATATGACTACCAACCACAACATTAAAAAAAAGGCTTTGGATTGAACAAGTTCCAGTTACAACTGCTGAAATTCAACGAAATCCTCAAATTAATAATATATTTATTTCGGGAACACAAATTAATTAAGATGAAGTCACGGGTGATTTATCAACCTTTTTCTCAATTTCAATCAATCTACAAACCAAATGAGTCACTACCGAAAGTTAGTTAAGAAAACTGCTACAACCATATTCACCCTTAGACACCCATCTCAGCGTAGTATTTCCCACTTTTAGATTAGTATGCATGACCACAACTTCAGTTGGTTGATAATAATCATGAACATATTTGTCAGCATACACACCAGGGTTGTAAGAAAAATGCATCTGAAACGTTGAAGGTTTTCCAGACATAAAATTAAGGAAAAGTCAGAAGGAAAATAGTCTATTGTCAATACAACTTCATGTCAAAGCAATGAATTGATTTACTCATTTCCTTGTGCAAAACCCAAATCCAAAATAAAATTCCACGTACTTGGTTGATAAGAACTACAGTAGGAACCATCATACAACAATGTATTTTAACAACTTTCTAATGATGTGTGCATAACTTCTTAGAAGCATGATTTCCATTAGAGTCTTGTCAGTTCCATTTGCTAAGAAGACAATAGTGTATATACTGTTTCAGTGCTTTTTCCAATGCTTCTTAACTTCAATTATAAAGATAAAAGGGGAAATGAATAAACATTATATCAATCGACAACAAAAAAATTACTATTCAATGTTCGATGGGATTTCATTTTTCCTCCTGCGTGAATAAAGTAAATATATGAATAACACATTACAAGAGCATATACACAATCATAACAAACATTTTTTTTATTTTTATAAATTAAACAAGAAATACCATCCTTCTGTTGATAACACGACAACATAGATATTGATTACCTTTAGAAAACATGAACAGAATCCGCATAAACCTGTTTGTTTCCTCTATTTCGTATTACATTAGTAGTCTTCATCCATTCTCCTTGCTCGAAACCTCAGACCAAAAGGGATGAGTACCTTCAAGTTAGAATGGGTATGCGTCAACAACAAAATCATAAAGATGCAACCTTTATTACATGAATTTCAATAGCAAGTATTGATAAAATGTTCGAGTGAATCAATTATGCTGCTATGCCACCAAAGTGTCAATAGTAACATCAACCTAAGCATTAAGGCAGAAAACTACATTTAATCGAAAATGGACCTACAAATTTGGTGATATTCCTTATTGGAATTTACAACTTAAGTTTGTGCACCAACACGAATATCTTATTTTTTTTTTCCAATTACATGACAACCAAAACATAAATGTCACTTTATTCACTTGGCTGGACAAAAGGGGGAATTCGAACAAGAACAAGCTCTTATTTTTAATCATACAAGTATAATAATCGAACATTAGATAGTTCTACATTATAAAAATAAAATAAAAAGGTGAACAATTAATATTAAATAGTATGTTATCATCTTTAAATGATATTAAAAGGTTCTTATGAGCTTGGGCAGCTTAGAGATGGAGGGCTCCCTTGGAAGCATGTGATGGATTGTTCAACTCACAGTTTGAGCTATCGAGCATAACAAAGGGATTCTGAGGTACTGCAGCAAATTGCTGCCATTGTTTACCTGGCTGGAGGCATTTGACACCATTACGGCCAATAATCAAATGTCCATCGTTCGCATGGGTCCCTGAAAGAGAGAATATTGAGACAGGAGCCCCATCATCCTATCAAAGTTAAAATAAATGAAATTAGAGGCCCTGTCCATAACCACTAAGAAAAAGTTGGCAGAAAAGCAAAAAAATAAATAAAAGAGAACAAAACAAAAAGAAGACGATTAAACTTCAAAATAATGGTTAGTTAAAAGCAATTCAAGTACAAACTTCCAGAGCATATATTAATCATATCCAACCTAGATAGTGTACTTGTGAATTATAAAAAAAATGACGAACGCATGGTAATCACCAAAATGAAAATGTTAGTTTGTCAAAGTAAATTATCATCAATTACCTCTCGTCCACTCTGTTCTTTCACAAATTTTAGTTTAGTCCATTATGTTTTTCCTTGAGAAATGTAACCCGCAAACATTGTGCTTCGGATTTAACCATGTACCAATAGTTCTCATATAAGATATATTGAAAGGGACCGTCAGCCCCAAAGAAACTGATATGAATATATCACAACACACACATATAGCAATACCATAAAAAGGCCTTCACCAAAACATCTTCAGCTTATCTGTTTTCTACTTTGAGCTTTCCCAATTTCTATGACAAGACTAAAAAAAAAAAAACATTTGCATAAAACACCACATCATAACAGAAAAAAATCACAACATTAGGCTTCTACAACAAAAACATTCAAAATTTTGAAAAAAATGAACACCAAAATTTCGAAAACATTCAGATGGATACTTGGATAGACCAAAACCTAAAAAAAAAAAAGAAATTAGGTGCTCAAGAAAAAAGTAACACATCAACCTGAAGCTGAAATTTTCTTTGATTATGCCAAATAGTATTGATTTGCATCGAAGCACGAATCC